AAACGATCCTGAAATCCCTGAATGTTCAAAACAATTATTAACGACTCCTAAACAACTATCCAAAAATCTAAAGCCAAAATACAAACCTGTCGAATTCCACAATCAAAGACACCCCAAAGATGTTGAAAGACGTTAATAACCTTCACCAAGATGTGTCCATGACCCAGACAATTGTAAAAAAGTTCTCAAAGGACATTGACTCTCAAATGATGAACATTAAAAAGAATCAGCAGAAAATTCAAGACCGCATTAACGAGGTCACAGAAATGACTCAAACGACATCCACATCAATTCATTTAGTTGTGCTTCTAGATAACGTGGAAAATAATATTCGCATAATCAACAAAGTTTGCGAGAACATACAAACCGCGATAAACTTTGCCGAAATCAATGTATTGCACGATAGTATTCTTAAATACCAGAAATTACAGAAAATTATTTTCAAACTAAAACCTGAAACAAGAATACCGTTCGATAACATAATCAAATATTATGAGGTAGCCCATGCTGACGTAATTATCAAAAATGAGTTAATCATCTTTCATATAGCGATTCCCCTAATATCAGGAAAATCGTATGTTCTCTATCAACTTTACCCAATCCCTGTTGATGATCACACTGCTATTCTAAAGAACCCCTATTTGCTAAAATCTGCAAATGAGTCTTTTAATCTAAATAACAAATGTTAAGAAATCGAAGACATTTTCCTATGCGACCAATCTTCACTAAACTCGAATGAACCCTGCATCTTGGAAAATTTCAAATCAACCAATCATTGTCTAATGTCACCGATCGAAATAAAAGAATCATCGATTACCCAATTAAGAGACAATTATATATTAATAATTCCAACAAAAACGGAAACAATCAATTTTCAATGTCCACACCAAAACTCCATCGAAACAATCAAATTCCCATCATTGATAATTCCAGAACAATGTGTAACGGAAACCAATGAATTCACTTTTCAACCCCAAAACTCGAATACAATCAACTTACGGTTGAAACTTCCAAAAATCAAGATCAATGAAGGCTTAAAGGAAAAAATACAACCTTTACAAATGAACAAAATTAATTTGGAAAACCTTTATGAGGACTTAAATAATATGAAGAAACTTACAAATCACGAGTTGAAAGAATTTGACGTAGTTAGTACAAGTGTGTCAATTACAACATTGATAATAATTGTAATACTAATTTTTGTAATTGTAATATTGTACTTTTACCTTAATAAGAAAAACAATGTAAAAGTGGACATAAAACTGAAACCTCTCGAAAATTTAAAACCCAAATTTTCTCAAACTTAAGGAGGGAGGAGTTATATGACCACTTACGCAGACCACTGTGTATTTCACTCAATAAATGTCGATGCAGCAATTAATTACTATATAAGCTGTGCATTCGGCATGCGGAAATTAGTCTTAAGTTAGCAGTTAAGGTAGTTAGTTCGCTGTTGAAATAATCTATTTTTGTCTGTAAAAATAAACGTTTTTTCAAAACTAAGTTTTTACGTCCAGAAACAAAATTATACTATAAATATAAAATAAAAATATAAACTATAAAATTGACAACGATGTTTAGGCATCACATTTACTGATCTCAATAATCGAATTAACATGACGCAAATATCTGTTCCGTCATGGTCCATTCAACAAAGGTAATAGGTGAGACCAAAAGGCAGTAAGCAAAATTAGCTATTGTTGCTGACAACTAATAGGCCGTGCTTCTCATCAGTTTGCCAACGAATTAAATTTTAGAAATTTAGTTTTATTGTCGAGTTTTCGAGAGATCAGAAGAGTTTTCCCGGCATCTATCCATACTTCCTTATGGAAATGGTACACATTTTAAAACAGGTTTGAACATTAAGAACCGCAAATTCTGACTGGGCATATTTTTTATTAAAGCAGAGGCAGTGGACGGTAGGGTTTTAGCCTTTCTTCAAATAGACATACAGGGCGTCCCCGAAATGACCGCTTTGCGCTACAGGGCGTCAAACTTCTTAAATTGAAGTTAAATAGTAGAGGTATTTCGACAATAAAATGTTAAATAAGTTATGCTTCCCTATTACTGAAACTGCATAAACTACTTTTGGATATTATACGGTTAGCATATCCATAGGTATAAATCTTAAAATAAAGGATGCTAATTTAAAGAGAGTTGAAGAATATAGWCATATTTTAGATCTAGGTTTCCTTTCCTCGTAATATGATGTGGAGCGTACATATTTAGTATCTTACACGAAAAACGATTTTAAAAATTGTTGGTAATCGGTGACAAGTTTTCATCGATGACGCATGCAACCACATACATACATTGCGAATAATTTTGCTTTACGTCTCTATTTCTTCACATTATTCATGATTGAACAATTGTATGGGAGTTGCATTCAAGAAAATTTTTAATTGATTGAAAATCAATCATCATTTCAATCAAAATCATCAATCAAAATTTTAGTTGAGGTGGTGCCAAATAACTTATTATTATTACATAAGACAATCCCATGAATGCGGAGAAAATGTTCAGATATCATTCTCAAAACTATAATTACCCCTCACACAAAGAACTGTGCTAAAACGCATATGCGAGAAGCAAGACTAGCTATATCCAAAAAATGTAGTTATTACGACACAAATCAGTCACTGCCAAAAAAGCGATATGATGCCATTGCAATATTCTTCCTTAATAGCCTACTAACAAAGTTACAATTTTAGACAATATTGTCATAAAGTTGTATTTAAAAAATACACAGTCAATTATTTGAATCAATATTGTCTCAAGTATTTGCTACCAAAATGTGTTTCAACAAGTCATCAAAACTCTATTACTTTGTGGAAAAAACTTAAATCTTAGTCTTAATTTTCTTAAATTGTACACTATTTTCATCGGAAGAAAGTGAGAAATGTAACAACCAGCGCAAAGATAAACTTTTAAACGGTTAACATATTTTGTATGAATAGATTACATAATGTATAAGCTGAAATGTATGAGTAAGAGTTTGATTGCTTAATATATTTTAGGCAAAGAATGGACTACAAATCATTATCATTAATGTTTAAAATTTTGATACGGCGATTTTTGTTATGTTTGCTGTAGGCCTGAGACTATACACTGGAGATGCTACTTTTCTCGGCTGATTTACATTAGTAAACGTTTCCTGGAAAAGAGCATTACATATTTTTCTGAAATAGTACCCACTAGAAAAGTTTAAATTGGATTGTATCACCCTGTATGATCTCTTATCCAAAAACTGTGATCCCATTTCCGTCGGAAATACAGTACAGTTACCGAATATCTTATAAACTGTTTAATATTTTTTGTCATAAAAACCTGATTGTAGTAATATCCTCGTTGTTCTATGAATTACAATTAAGCACATTCCATTGTACGATGCATTACACACACGTGCAAGCCGAGTCTGCATTTATTATCTCATAAATATGTTAAATCTAAGATCTGGCAGTCAGTTGATGCTGTACCAAGGTTCCTGAAATARAAAAAATTAAAACCCTTATTAAAATTAAAACCCACTATTAAACCTGCCGCCAAGAACAAATTTCTTCTTTTTGTTCGACACTGATTGGACATATTATGTTCGTCTATTCTTCATATRCAGGGTGATTCAAAATTGGCGTCATTTCTCTGGAGGTGTTGTCTGGCGCTGTTATAGGAGTACATAAACAATAGTAAAAGAAATTAATTGTTACTAAAAACTGACAAATTTCTAAAAAACTATATCATAAATACGGCAGCAATGTTTTTCAAGGTAATATGCCTAATTAACATTGCGAAAATATCTGTTGCTTCGTAATTATTAAAAACTCCGGTAACCATGGAATTATACAGAGTTACAATAAGATAAACAAGGATAAACGGTAAATTCAACAAGATTCGTTGACTGCGCAACGTACTTTCGACATGTCAA